GTTGGCTGGTGTCAATGCGCTCACAACGTCGTCATGGGCGTCCGCCAAAGGGCATCCGCAGGTCAGCACATACAAGTGCATGATCGGTGTCAACACCTGTGCTCCAAGTCGAGCGACAGTTCTGGACGCAGCCTCTCCATCGGTAACTTATCGCAATGTGATCGATTTGCGTCCATAGCTGGTTCGAGGCTGGTGGGCGCCAAGTCACCCTTTGGCGGGTGCTGTGTCTGAAATTAGTGTTCGCAAGAAATAAGCGAGCATGCTCACACAATTGAAGTAACCGCTCACCGTTATCATTACGGGAGCCTATACCATGTTGGCCGCCCAGATGCAGCTCATCTGTGGATAATTTTCCAATGTGAACGTTCAGATCGCCGGCCAGCACTACAGTGTCCGAGCTTCTTCTGTGGATAAGGAGCTCGTTCAGTTGACGACAGAAGTCGTCTTTTACCGAGCCATCGCTACAGTTTGTCGGTACATAGGCAGCGATATCGAATAGACACCTGTTAGTCCCACGCGACTTCGAAGTTTTGTACGAGCCAGCCAATCGGACCGCACACATCCGGCTACTGATTGGAATCCAATCAACCAGAGTAGCTTCAGCCCGGGGACTCAGGGCAATACCAACACCAGCGTGGCCGGTGCTCGAAGCTGCATCGTCACCGGATAAGCGTAATGAGAAAGCGCTGCTAGTGTCACCTGAAGACGATTGCAGAGTGAGTACAGAGCTCGAGTCTTTTAGGCGGGTCTCCGATAAGAAGCAGATATCGATCGAGAGGGTCTCTAATGTTCGGGCAAGTGCTGCCTGTTGACCGATCTGTAGTAATGTGCGTACATTGAGGCATGCCAATCTGAAGGAGGATCGAGGGCTCCAAATAGAAGCCGATGTACTGGAGTGGATCGCTTGCTTGAACATGGGCCTGTTGACAGGGCAGGAATGACGTTCTGCGTTCACCTGTGAGTTGAAACTAAAAGACAAACGACTATTGCAGCAAGGTGGGAGAGGGCCGAGAATTGGGGGTTGAAAACATGGGGGATAAAAGTGAAGCTGGAACGGGACGATGAGGGTGAAAAAACGCAAGAGGGGGAATAAGAAGACGGGAAGGCTTGAGCAGTAGCATCTAAACCGCTATCCACCCTGCCCGATGCAGCAGATAGGGCATTGTTGATTATCCTTTGCGGTGGCCAGAGCATCAGAAATTTGTTGGAAGTGAGATTCATAGTATTGCGTGGGCAGGATACTGTCGGGTTGCCCACGCCTAGACAGGAGAACGATTAGGGTTCTCAACCAAAGTCTTTGGTTCAAAAGCCTTACCGCAAGGCAGCGGGTTTGGTACTGGGCTACAAGGAGTCCGTTTTAAGGTATAAGGAGCCACCCTCATTCCAACCCCCAGCCTGGAGGACCAGGAGGCTGAGTTTGTCTGGCCTCTAACCATTGACCAATATGGTATGAGTGACTCAAGGTGCAAAAATGCACCACCCAGTATAGATCAATGGATCACTGAGGCACACAAACCATCGCACAACGGTAAGATCCAGCCTCATTGCGATGACCGTCTTGATAAGCATTGTCTGTTGTGACTCGCTAGCCTAGTAGATGTTTCCGCTGACATCTCAGCGTCCCGGGCTCGAATCGCAGTCAAGACAACTGAGAAAGTGCGAAACCGACCTTGGAATATAGCGTCGCCAGTGACCAAGATGCAACATTTGTATGCTTCCGATAACTCGTGGCGGAGCTGTACGCTATCCGGCGCGTCCCCAGGCTGCGGATTGGGGGAATCCCTTCATTGTGGAAATAACTGCGATTAAGTCTCGTTTGTTTTGCAGGCGAGATGAATACGCAATCGCAGACAACCAGCGGCAGCGTCTCAAAGCGTGTCGAGTTCTGGGCTAGTCACCACAAGAGATCGTATGGCGCTGTGTCAAAGCCAATGTGACGGGCTATAGGGATAGTGACCACTCACTTCTGGTCACGGAAGTGAGTACTTAACGGAGGGTATACGGACAACCTTGATGACCACCGACTACTGTGTGGACTGCCACCGAACGCTAAGGCGTATGAGCCACCTGGTTGTCAACGGTCTTCGTATTCAGCAGCTGGTTGGACGTTCCCACTACATGTGTGAATTGCCGCACTACTTTGCGGGTCGGGTCTCTAAGACCAAAGGCTCGAGATCGGGTCGCTTAAGTCAAGTCTCTTCCTTGGCCTGGGAAACCGGGAAGATTTCTACCCACACAACACATGAAACTTTGCATCCCTTTCTTTGACCACGTCTTCTCTTCGTTTTGTTAGTACACAAGTGTTGTGGCACTCTGTCAATTGTTTATTGTTCGAGTGCTAAATGTATACAGATATATGCTTTGGATAAACCCGCAGTGACCCGACTGAAATAAACAGTTGCCTTGAATGAGAGTAAGCGTCGTAATCCACTCAGGCACAACAAAAGTATCAAAACGACCACATCCAAAGTAATGGATCACGTACTTATGAAACCGAACGCATTCACTATAACGTCCATAAACAAAGAAAATGTATTTCAGCGTTCAGATAAAACGTCCGAATCACCTGATAAAGAGGCAAAGGATAAGATTTACTGAACTGGTTGAAAGAGCATCACAGGCTTCTTGAATGCGTCACCAGCGATAGAAGACCCAACCATTGAGATGGCGCGGCACGTCTATCCGATTCAAGCAACCGAAAAGTTTCCTCATGCTGTTTGTTGCTAACCCATTGTGTATTGAGTCCGAGCTGCAGCTGCAGCAAACTCATAATTGGTGAATTCAAAAAGTCGAAGGAGGGGCAAGCTAAAAGCGCGACCCAACTAGACAGCTCAGTGCGGCATCGGATGTTCCGTTGATAAATATCAACCCCTCGAGCTCAACAACAATGCGCCACCGTAGATACCTCTCAGCAGGAAAGAGCGCAAATAATTTGATGTCTTCAATACCTAATGGTAATACCTGAGTACGATTAGGCAGCCCGTTGCGTTGAACACCCTGTCTTTGGTACACAAACTGGTGTTTCGTCCTCATCATTCGTGGAGACAAACAAACCGGCATCCGCGGAAAACTATTTGGCGTATTAGACAACAAATTTGATGCGACTACTCACCAAACCAAACGTAAGGGATTCCTCAAATACCGCAAGCACAAATGGCATACCATCCCAGTCCTACCACACTATCATGAATAATAAAAACTTTAGTGACCAACAGAGCGCCATGTGTCGAACAATTCAATACATCATATATGGCAGATGGTTAAAATGATTGGGTGGGCCAATGAAGATGAGGATACTTGCAAGACAACGAGGACAAAAGGAATGTGACTAGAGTGACAAGCGCAAGCGATTCAATGCAGTATGGACATTAGATAGTGAAAAAGGACAGTGGTATATCGCTTGTCTGCATGACACCACTCCAAGGCCCGAAGAAGTAATAATGCATCCACATTCAAGGTTGCGTCCGGTTGGTTTCGAATTTTCGATTTTCAAGGGCCGGTTATCCGCCGATGTGCGTGACACAGAAAATAAGGTCAGATGTGCAGCAATAGGAACATGACCTGGATAGCTCTTATTCGCAGAGAACAGCGAGAATTGAAATAAAATGGGAGGCATGAGTAGTACGTTGATAGTCCGCTGCCACACGTCCGCTAGCAGTCGCGTGTAGGCTGCAGATACAAGGGATCATACGCACTTAAGTATATATGAATCAGTGACCGGTGGGGATTGAAAGTCGGAGACCTGAACCATTCGGTCACAGCCAGGGCAGTTACAACGACGGACAAATAACTATCTGTAGGCGCCTCACCAGCGTGCCATATAGCATTAAAGAAGGTAACCAGATTAGTCGTCGATGGATCACAATCATGGCCAATCAATGACAAAAGGAAATCATCTGGACCAGTAGTTTTCTTGGTTCAACGACACCGGTTTGTGTCGGATATTATCAATGGTAGCAAACGTTGTTAAGCCAACGAGCTAAGTTGGATCAGGAAACACACTGAAGTGGCGAGGATACACCAGGACAGTCTACATGTTCACAGTGCATCGTTTAGGAAATAAACTTGATTTCAGGACGTGGAGGATACAAGTTACAGGGCACATACTGGTTGAATCACATCAGCATGTGCTCATCAAGAACACAGCCTGCAGAATGATATTCATTGTAGAACAGTGATCTGAAGGATTGCCGATTATTCAATCTAGGGGAAAAACATCAGATTACGTTGTAGAAAGTGCGCTCGGCGTAAGGGAAGAGGGACGTTCGTGGTGTAGGAAAACGCACTCGGCTGCATGAACCGCGAAGTGCTGTTGTAAGATCCCTCGGTGCTGGAATGCATACTTCAATTGTCCTTTCGTTGAAGGATTATTTTACCAATAGTACTTAGGCTAACTAATCTAGAGGAAGGAGCTCCTCGTTCATAGTCAGAAACACCGGGGTTCTTCAGGGTTATGGTCGGTGGTCGAATGATCTGTACGCCTGGCTTGCAATCATAAGGTCACCGGTTCGAATCCGTGTAGGGGCGACAGTCCTCGCGGTACACTCAGCCCAAAAGCAACTGGTGGTGGTCGCACGGCAGCGAAGCGCCGTTACGACGTAAAGCTGACGATTATTATTTTGACACACGGAGCAGTCTAGGATGTATTGGGCAATGGAGCTTGCTGGCAGTTTGGGACCGTTCGCGACCACATTACGCGGAATGTGCTCTGAAATCCTGGTTGACAACTCTCTCTGTTCGGCCTACGTACTTGTTACCACAAGTACAATGAAAGAGGTAAACACATGAGGCGGTAACTAGAGGGTCCGGTTTGTCAAGGTTGGATTTACATAGCCTTGAACGATTATTATTTTTATTGTAGAGGTACCACAACATTCACAAAGTCAACGGCAAGCTAGTGGACAATCAAACACTTTGACTACAATCCACAAAAAGTGAAAAGCGGAGTATACCATTAATGGTAAAACAGAGCGACTAGCTATGTGAAAATGAAATCTTACCCGATCGGATGTCCGCAGCTGACAGCTCCACCGTGCAGGTTCACATTGGTTATTTTCAGGTCTAGCAATCGGATGTTTGCTAGAGCGACCACGGAGAAAGCTTCGTTAATTTCCCACAACGTGATATCCTCTTTTTTCACACCTGTGTATTTGAGCAACTTCTCGACAGCCACATGCGGAGCCACTGGGAAGTCGATAGGATCGAGGGCTGCATCGGCATACGCTGGAACGAATACGAGGATCAGTCTTGGATTCAGTTTGAGTGAGAAAGCAATTTTGCGAGTGGTCGGACACTATGGCCAAGCCTCTAGAGGCCCACTGGGGTCATCACTAACAGTAGCGGAACAGCGCTGGTGTTTCGTTGTCAGGTGGCTTGGATCGGACATACAGGAACAAAAAGTGAGACGGCAGCATTCTCCACCTTTAAAAATCGGAAGAAACTGGCGTGAGTATGGGACACGCGTTGTGGTGGTAAGCTCCTAACGCAATGCGCTAAGGCTTTCACCGTCTAAACACTAGGGGTAGATGTATCTCGGTTGAGGATCTAATGGCCACTAGCTGAGAGTCGGGCACAACAGGATCCCGAATGTGCAAGAAATGCTTGTTATAATGTGTACGAATCTAATTGACTCATAGTCGAGGAGCTGTCCGGTAGCAAACGAATCTCAGTGTTTCCCGCCTCTAGTGAAGACGTTTATGCAAAGAACCGGTAGGTCGTTGACTAAGGCCCCAGCGAACAACATCATTACAGTACATTTCAAAGTAGATGGGGCAACGCCTAAGACGACATGTTGCAATTCGGACAGTTGGAACTCAGCAGAATCCCAAGCTAGTGGTGTGGTGACGCTATCGGAGGAAATTCAGGTGCTAAGAAACCTAACGTAAGCCCAAAGTGGCTGTAAATACACCAGAAGGTCGACCTGACTTTTCCCTTCAGAAGGTGGGCAAGCAGTAACAGCCTAGAGACCGTTGGACTAACCCGTCTGCCATTGCGAGACCATGCGTATTGCTTATGATTACGAGGCATGTAACAAATATGGCACCTACGACGTGCCACTGTTATTGAGTCCTCTTAAGGGGGCATGTTCGACGAGGTGTACACTATTTCAACAGTTGAAGATGATGTGCTAATTGCTACCTTTCTAATCGTTTCTATCGTTAACCACTGGGATTCCTTGGGGTCAAACGGTTTTGTGCTCGTGATGAATAGCGCACTGCAATTCGCAGTGTGCGGAAGAGTTACAATGTTGGAACGCAATTGGAGATATGGGTGTCCAATAACATTTATGAAGACCGGTTTATCGCTTAGCTGGGTTCTTCAGGTAGCTAGAACCTAAAGAGGAATCGGGCTTGAAATCGCAAGAACGCCGGGAAAACACTTCAATAACTGGGCTGGTTGGCGCCAACAGCAGTGGTTAACGCGTGTCATTAGAAAGAGGTTTACGGCTCCTCGATATATCTCAGTTCAGAAACCTGAGAAGTGATACTGATGTTGGACACGTCGGTGATGACCGAGAAACACCACGAGGTAGGCGATATGCCTACTTCATGATAATGTAAGCAAGATTTGCATTATTACATACGTGAATTTGACAGCGGGATACTCGTAGTTCCTTGGCATAAATGAAACTTGATCGGACAAGGAATAACGTGAGGAAGGTTAGTTGTGTTGAAGGTTTAAGATAATACACTTGTTCCGGACTAGCCTGTGCTGTAGCTTGTGAACTATTGGGATGAATACCATAAAAATAGAACTAAAATCCTGTTACTTACAAGTGATACGCAAATATATTTAAATATCGATCTACTCCGATGGATCGGCGATCCAGCTAACACGTTCTTTTTCAGTGTTGGCTAAATCAATGAAAAGCGTTCTAGTGTGACAGATATAACACGAAACAAATGGGTGAAACAGAGGTAAATGGAAATCCAGCGTCACATCACTAATTTAGAAGTTCCTTTAAAGGGCACCCAGGTGCGAAACATACGTCTTTACCCCGGTTAATTGTCTACATCGGAATCTACACAGCGGTCTGGGAATGCAGCATAAAATGGGAGCCTAATGAAGTGAGCTGATACATACCAGTAACTTATCGAGGTAACGTATCAGCGAATATGAGGAGACAAACACAGAAGAGAATGAATAATCCCACCATCGGGAGTTAGAGCAACTGAGGAATCAGTTACGAAACCATATCAGATCGGTGAAGAAACTATCGTCAGTAAAACCAGGTGAGTACTGTCGTACGACAAGGCATATGAGGTAATTATGGCTGAAATCGTGCCAGTTGCTGAAGGACATCAGTAGAAACGTTCATGGTGGATGAGCGCTTGGCAGAAGTGATAGGTTAGAGTACGCGTACCAATAATTCGCGCGATTGGTTTCAGTGATGCATCCTTCGCAGCGAATTGAGCCGAAGACAGAATGACGGCAGCAGCGCCATCGTTCAAAGTGCTCGCGTTCGCAGCTGTCACTGTGCCTCCCTCTTCCGCGCGCAGAAACACTGGCTTTAGAGTGGGAAAGCGGGAGAAGTCCGCGCGTTTGTACTCTTCATCTTCAGTGACTTCGTCGAAGCCGCTAGGAGCTTTCTTGTTCGGAACACGGACGGGGACGATCACATTTTTAAATATACCCTGAGAAGCAGCCGCCTGGCTTCGCTGATATGACAATATGGCATAGTCGTCTTGTTCTTCACGAGTGATTTTCATGAGTGCGGCAGTTTTTTCAGCACACTGGCCCTAGACAGAGTGATGAGAATGAATCGTCTCGTGCGATGAAAAAGAAAAGTACAATGAAGTTTTACAATATCAGTGCTTAACAAGATGATAAGCACATTTTGGCGTACACATGCACAGCTTGTAGGGATACCTGTAGAGAAGGCAAAACGGTTTGTTAGCAAAAAGTGATTCCGACGGATAGCAAATCGGACTGTAATCAACTCGTCTGGGCTAATCAACCGGTTTTGGTCAATCATAACCGGAGTCATTTGTTATTGTAGCTGCGGGTGCCACTCCTGTCTATATTAGGGGATCCTACAACATGAATTGTGCCATTCGTGGACAGACGTAAACACCATGTAACTGTTGCGAATAGCAGATAAGATAGTAAGGAGTGTGGGGAATGAGACCGCGATCGGTGCGTGACGAATTAACCCTCTCAGCACAGTGTACAACATATATATATATATATATATATATATATATATATATATATGGGCCAAAACATCCATGCAAACCCAAAGATTATCACCAACAAGTGAGTACTCGACAGATAAGTCTACATTCTCCGTCTTCATGGTGGACGTTCGTATTAATCTTAATGCAACCTACTCTAATATTATCCTTTTCTAGATGTCCCTCTCGCTCCAATCTCATGTGAATGCCGCAACCAACATACAAAAGTACTGATTAGCATTGATCAAAGCAATCGTTACAATGTGCTATAAAAAGTTACGCATACTTTATACTTATGGTAGACCCATTTTCCGATCCTACAGAATCATCATTCAAACGGTTCATATTCATGTTCTCGAGGGGATACCAATCCCGAGAGACACTTTGTGAAGCAGCAGATCACACACTCAATGAAAATTCAACATGTGTATCCCGACAGAAATGAAAATCGAGTTGCATAACCGTGGTACATATCCCGATCATTCGTGGCCGTTACACCAGAAAATGCCTTTGACAGACGTGTCTCTCTGAAAATGAGAATATACAATTTCAACACAGCGCAGTCTAAGCGATGTTTCACAGCAGTAAAAATTCGCATCGAATGAATAAAAGTCGATGCAAGCGAACATTTATTTTCAATAATTTCTCTTCAGGTTTGTATAATTATATGCGGAAAAAAACAAAATGTTTGACACAACGTAAATGTTGGTAAGAGAAATTCAGTTCATCGTCACTGATCAATCACAGTCACTACCCGTTAGGTCACAAATGCGGCGTACACTCCATTTCATGAGCCGGATGTCGCAGTTCGGGTAGGCCAAGGCAGTTTTAACCTCTGAACCAGCTGTTTCTGTACACACAACTCCGGTTCGTTTAATCGAATCGCGATGGCCTCCGCGGATTCAAGCAAACGCTTACGAACACAATTTGACCGATTGTCTGATACCTGATGGATCACTTTGAATGACTCAGCCAAGTTGGCGGCGTGGACAGTGTCGGCGAGATGCGTGGCTATGGATGAGTTGGTTTGTTTTCGACAAGCGGTCATGAGCCAAGCCGGATGGTGTTCTTTCACCCTTTCAGACAGGTGCCTGGTCGTTCGGTCTATGTATCGTGCCCCACAGGAACAGGGGAAAGAATAAATACACATTGATTTGGCGTGGACGGGCCTCTCGTCTTTGGGGCTAGTTCTAACCATTGGGTTTCCGACCAACTGGATTTGCATTTTGGCTGCTGAGATAGCGTGTCTGAGTGCATGAGGAAGGCGACGAGTTATGATTACAGCAGCAATTTCTCCCTTGTACGGTAGTTGGAAAAATATGAGTTTTCTCTGGACTGTAAGGGTTACGGGAGCCTTCTTCCTTTGTCCCATGTTGGCTTTCAGGAAACTTTCAGGGTAACCATTTTCTCTCAGCGTCAAACGTATGCGCTTCAGTTCTTCGGGAAACGTTTCGTTTGAGCAAATTCTTTCTGCTCGACTCATTAGACTGAGGATCAGGTTCCGTTTTAATTTCAATGGGACGAAACTGTGGAAATTCAGGTGTTGTCCATTCCACATGTGTTTCCTATAAACGTGATGTTGTAATATGCCACTCTCGAGTCGCTTCATTGCCACGTCGAGGAAGTGAAAAGTACCATTTACCTCTACTTCGGAGGTGAACTTCAGTGCTTCGTGCGCCTGATTGAATTCATTGGTAAGATCTTCGATGGTTCGAGAGGAGTGGAGCAGTACAAAGATAACGTCGACGTAACGGCGGTAAAGACTGAGGTTCGTGATGTCGATACAATTAACCGTTAAACAGAAACTGGATGTTGAAAGTGCACCGAAGCAGCAGTTCGTTTAGCGCCACCGTAGGTCTGCCAATAGCTACCTGGTTTTCTTCGATATAATCACAGATGTAATTTATAGTTTCAAATAACCGCACATTTGTAAAAAGTGAAGTCACATCGAGAGAGCACATGGTCAGATCCGTGACATTTAGACGGCGCACCGTATCCACGAAATCAAAACTGTCCTGAAAGCTGTGCACAGCAACTCCTTTTCGAATAGGTTCCAGAAGCTCGACCAACCACCGCACCGCAGAGTGGTACGGTGAGTTCTTCATATCTAAGACTGGTCGTAGGGGGACGTCAGGTTTATGCGTTTTGGGAAGACCATACAGTCTAGGAATTGTGGTGCCTGTGGAGCGTAGATTTTCACATACACTCTCAATGATGTAGCCACCGTCCCTAAACTTTTTGGGACCGTTGCAGATTTGAGTCTCGATCTGTTTTGTCTTGTCTTTCTCATTAAGCAGCTTTGAAAACGGTATCGTCTGCCAATAGCCCGTGCATTTTCCGGATGTAATCTTCCTTGTTCATAACAACTATACCAGCGCCTTTATCCGACCGAGTAAGCAAAACATCTTTATTGCAAACTAGGTGGTTTAAGGCCTGGATGTGCTCTTGTCCCACTAGAGTATGATGGTTTATCCGAGCTCGGTGATATTGATAGCATGCGTGCACTAGAAACGACTTAAACTCTTCTAACTGTGAGTCAGATGACGGAACAAATTGTGATGGGTGCTCGTACAGATTTTTGAATTGAGCCTCGATTGACAGGCTATTGTCCCAGCAGCTAAAATGCAAATCCAGTTGGCCGGAAACCCAATGGTTAGAACTAGCCCCAAAGACAAGAGGCCCGTCCACGCCAAATCAATGTGTATTTATTCTTTCCCCTGTTCCTGTGGGGCACGATACATAGACCGAACGACCAGGCACCTGTCTGAAAGGGTGAAAGAACACCATCCGGCTTGGCTCATGACAGCTTGTCGAAAACAAACCAACTCATCCATAGCCACGCATCTCGCCGACACTGTCCACGCCGCCAATTTGGCTGAGTCATTCAAAGTGATCCATCAGGTATCAGACAATCGGTCAAATTGTGTTCGTAAGCGTTTGCTTGAATCCGCGGAGGCCATCGCGATTCGATTGTACGAACCGGAGTTGTGTGTACAGAAACAGCTGGTTCAGAGGTTAAAACTGCCTTGGCCTACCCGAACTGCGACATCCGGCTCATGAAATGGTGTACGTCGCATTTGTGAGCTAACGGATAGTGATTGTGCTTGATCAGTGATTGTGAACTGAATTTGTCCTACCAACTACGTTGTAGCAAACGTATTGTTTTTTTCCACATATAATTGTACAAGCCTGAAGAGGAATTATTGAAAATATATGTTCACTTACATCGACTTTTAAATATACAATATATCTATTTATTTTTGGGGGGCTGTATTCGCCGCATCAGTGTTAACGATCGAAATCTTAAACGGCGTGAAAACCGCAGGTAAATGGTCGGTATTCGCCGTTTGTAACACCGTACTCCAAGACCGGTTCGAACCTGTTTGCTCTCGTCAAGCAGAGAGAAAAGGCACGGACTTGAGACAATCACCTGAGGTCGATATGACTACGCGAGCGACTGGACAAAACTTCAGTTCAATGTCAATCGCGGTACGAATTCAAACTGCGTGTAGGGCCCTATTCACAAAATAGGTGTTTCACAATATCTCCCCAATGAAGCCCGCAAACTTGACGCCAGCGGCACAGTTGTCCAACATAAGCGCCCTCATCGTGCTACTGTGCAACCACCGAAAGAAACGAAGACTCGGACTCTAGCTGGCACTACTAACAACAGCTACATATGTTGCGGGTCAATCGATTACGACAACATATCACTCATTCCAACTGCCGCAATGAACTGAGGCAGTAAACTGAATTCAGACGCTTCGAACCAACAGTTTAATTCCGTTATGGTCCGTGCACTGAGGAATGGCGAATGCAGTTGCTTTGGTTCATGTCAAAATGAGTCATGAGTGATTATAAATTCGCCCTCACAAAATTTCAAATGCAGGGGGTGCGTTCAGGGTTACTATTAGTGGAGTTCTGATACTTGATGTCCAACCACTATCATCTACACAGGTAGTGACCTGCATGGCAGCAGAGGATGGAGTCAGATGATATCACAGTTAGATTTCAATCAATAATGGTCCGTGGCATAAGCGACTGGCTAGTGGTGCAAGTCACTTTCGGACATGAGTTCGGTTCCCCGAAGAGGTACGAGGGAATGCGTCCCATTAACGATTCCCAAGAGAACGAAAGGGCCGCCTGGTGCTTCCTTGACTGGTAGTTGGCCTATCTGTCTTGAAATCGAATTGCGATGAAGTGGATAGGTCATGTCAAAATAAGAGTAATAACAATAGTCATAATAATATAAGAACGTCAGATGGAATAGTAAAGAGTCAGATCTTGAGGTCCCCCCGTCCAGGAAAACGACAAGCCCTAACATGACTCAGCCCTTCGGTGATTTTCTTCACACTCACTTACCAGGTCACTGACTGAACACATCACGGGGTCTCACTCAGCGCAGTATTGGCGAGCAACACAAACAGATGTGACCGACTCGCCGGAACGTGGCAGAGGCAATTCATATTGAACAGGCAATATCTAACGAAGAACCGGAGGGCCGCTGCCGGACATCAAGTTTACTCATTCGGCTCTCTCCTCAGATAAGAGCAACATTGCACAAGCATCGATGTTAGAACGATGTCAGTCTCCTAATGCCTTCAGCATGTAGTGACCAGATATCCGGTTTATACACGGAGAACACGGACCGCATGTGAATCGATCGCCGCATGCCCGCTCGCCCGCCTCGGCATGAATGAGATGGGGTCCAGGGAGCAATCGATAGTAGAGTAAAGGAAAATAAGAAATTGATAAAAAAAACTAAAGTAAGTCTATGACCACCGTTTTCCTGAAAGGGGTCTAGGACGTTGCCACAAGATGCATGCGGATATGGCGCAGTTCGGACTGGAGCAAGTATTTAAAGCCCTCATGTATTTCAGCGAGTGGAAATAACGTTTGAAAGGACATTGTTCTGATAAGCTGTCCTTGTTTGTTTTGCATTATATCTTCAGCATCCCTCCCAATCTGTTGATTCGACACATCAGGATTGTACCTAGTTTCAAAAAGCAAAACTAGATCAAGCCTGTTAAGATCCAGGAAAATACAGAGCAAATGAACCTTTTTAACTACACTTCTTACCCTTCCTCCCCCGAGTGGACAGTCTCAAAATCTTATCATCTGCCATCGACAGGAATAGAGTACTCAAGCAGCCGTTGAAGCTAAATTCCAACAAAAAGCAAGTGGCCAGGACGGATTATCTCTCCTTGTCTTCAAGGTGTGTGCCGATTCCAGTCCATCCACTTTCTGAACTGCACACGGCGTGCATACAGGAATGCAAAATTGTCAACTGTTGGAGAAATGCTGGAATTACACGGGCGCCAAAGAAAGTCAGAGATAAATACCGGCTAGTGACGTTCATCTTTCGCTTCACAATGACCGTCAATATCAGCAATTTCTAATGGATTGCCTTGAAGTTCACATAGATAGTGAGCAGTTGCACTCCACCGAGTCCGTGAAGTATCTAGGTGTCATATTCAACCGTGGTCTATCATGATCACTGCAAGTGAAGGAAGTTGTTATAAAAGTGAGGAGAATTTCCTTTTACGATGCTTGTTTGTGATCCTCCTCTGTCCCACACTACCTAATACTACGATTTATCACCACTTACTGGACTTATCGCTCCCCTATGACATTTTCCGATTTCTTAAGGAAGCGTTTCAAAATCCTAGATAGATCATTAGCACAAATGTTGTTGGCATTATTGTGGCTATGCATTCCAGTTCATGCAAAAGACTGGCTTCTCGAAACTCCTCGCTGATGCAAGTCACACCCCATGATGGTGCACTGTCTGACTGTATTTCAACTTTCTCAAATAGATAAAGTGTAGATTCATCTAGTCCCGTACAAGGGTTTACCACTCATCCGTAATCCGATATTTGACGCGCTTTTTGGGCAACCAGACCTCAGTCGTTATAAAACTTAGAAGCAAATATTCATTGTAACAAGATTGCGGCCTATTATCTTTTTGTGTATTCCTTGTACAATGCTGAAGGCGTGTAACAGATGAATATCCACCCCCCGGGAGGTGCATAAAACATTTTCTGGAATTGAAAAATCTGAAGTGAACAGCGAACAGTAAGCATCCTGGCTCAGTTTGAACACACAACTCTTTGTAGAAACTAGACTTAGATTAGTGGCGGGATTTCTCGCAGCGTCCTTAAGAGTGAGCTTTGTAGTGTTTGTTGGCAACAGGAGGGGAGACGGAATGGATGGAGCAAATCCAAAAATACGGAGCGATCGGAGAGGATCAAGCGTACACGAGAAAGGTAGCACTGCAGTCACTCAAGGGCAGCGGTATAAGAAGGGCAAGAAACGATATGATGGACTAGAGCAATGAAAGTCAGAGGCCTGATGACGAAGAGAGAATAAATGCGACTGAATGTAGCAAACTTCCGTGCTTGGAGAAACGTTAAGCAACGATACGAAACCAATTGCTGTACCAAGACCAAAGATGTGTAAAGGGCAGAATAAATTTCCAAAAAATTTAACCAGTGAAACGCCGGTAGCATCTAGTAGTTTCCAAACTATCAAGTCAATGACAAAGTGTGTTGAACGAATAGGCAGGGCTCGTTTCAAGTAGATACGTGACTGGCTTCGATCTAGTGGGTTGAAATACGGGTGCCAATACGCACCATGAAAGAGAGGAAAGAGGAGTATATATATAGAAATAAGAAATAAGTACATCGGTTTTAGAAAATAAGCGCGGCTGGCGAGAAGAAATGTATAAGGATGCTAGCAAGAAAACGCAGAGGGACGGAACAAATCGGTACAAAGAGACATACCATATGGATATCGTATTTCGCGTCGGAAAGGCCATCATAAAGTATGGCGTCGTATAACTTTGCCCCACCATAAGCCGGTGTCTGTCGTGGGAGGTAGAAAGGTGCATTTGACATACTTTCCATTCCACCAGCGCATATGACATCCTGCAGAAAGCATAAAAAGATGTGAAGCTTGACATATGTAGAAAACAATTTAGAAAAGACATAAATACGTAATTAGCCACAATGCTTAATTCACCTCAGGAACCATTTGCTTCATTGACAGCGTCCTTGTGGAAAACGCACCAGTCCAACAATGAAAAAAATAAAATTTTTATCTCTGTCAAACACTGCTTGGAAAGTTTGGCAGTAATTTTTTCACAATGTGTATGAAGTAAACACTCAAGCACACCGCATTATGTTTGGAGGTACTAAGCGTAATTTGTGAATTGCGTAACAACGTCAAATTGAAGATGGGGAACCAGTAAAAGGCCTAATTTGTTTCCAATTATCTCGTGTTACGGTTACATCCGAATAAAAACGATTTCACACAGTACGACGAAACTATGTACTTCGGAGTTGGTGCCCCCGACTGCCAAGCTGGGGCCCGAAGGACGATGGACACGTTTGGTTGGATACACTTGTTGACATGGCGACCTTAATGGCGTGTGTGCTATGAGTCTCACTGCCCCTCCCCCTCCCGCTTAGCTTCGCCCCAATCACGATCTCATACCCAATGCACAATATGATAAGTAGCATTATATCACTTCCTTTTAAGGTATTTGTAGTCTGTAATTTTTGTATCTTATATTTTCTGTATTGCGGGGCACATTAGCTGAGGTATGTCTCTCACTCGCAGCTGACGTGAACTGATGATTACGATGTTGATGACGAAACTGTGTTCGAACTTTGTAACTGCGTACCGAAAAGCAAGCAACAAGCATGTTTCCAGCGAAGTACGCAAGTGACTACAAGTGAGCGTGTACAAAGTCGGAATGTTCCCATGCACCCATGAAACATGTGACAATTTGGCCCAACGCCGACCCGTAGCCTTAAGGATCACAAGACTGCCTTGTGACCTGAGGGAGCGGGCGACCCTCGCAACATCCTTAGCTTAGGTGCGATTGATGGTTCCTGCGTGGAGGCGAAGCGTCGGTACTGCGTGCCGGCGTACTGTTGATGCCTCTCCATTTCGCACAACAGAATATTGTTCTTGTCATCTGAGCCACGAACACTTGCAATTTATGTGAAAGTTTCACTTCCTATAAAATCAAATGTTTAAGGGGGTCGACTATAGTGGTGGTGGTGGTAACGGTGATAATAGTCTGTGCTCCTTGTCATTCATTTTCATTCCATGGGTATTTTGTCCGGTTGGATGTTCACCATGGGTGCTCAATACGGTCAACTCGTCCAGTATCGCCAGTTTGAAAAACCATCTAACTCGCCCTAGAACCAAAACATCCATCCCACAGCCTGATTGCGGTTGAAAAGTAGAAATTCGTCTGGCTTTAAGTGATGGAAGAGAGTAAAACCGAGAATTGCAACAGTGTTGTCCTGAACCCATAATGTGCGAGTACCAATGTCACATTCCAATTAGACACAAAAGAATCCTCTTTCTCAGTTTGAAAGAAAGGCATGTATGCACACAACAACCTGATGAGTGGACACAGAGCCACCAAAAACCACAGAAGTAAAAGATGAGGACAATTGTCATAAAAATTTAACGGAACACCATAGAGAACAATCCATGGTTTCTTCAGAGGGCGTCATACTATCCGGCTACCTAACGTGAAGGAGAGAAATGACTTAGAAGAGACCGCCCTGAGCTTTTGGTTGAATAGTCTGCTCCCAATGCATCGGAGGAAAGTTCGGGAAAAGCGTCCATGGGGAGCCGGTGATAGATTTTTCCCATACGGCTTTGATCTGGTGGGTTGGAATACGGGGACCAATACGCCACATGAAAATCAGGAAAGAGGCGTGCACACAGTCATAATAAACAAGCTAGGCGGTTTTAGAGAATAAGTTCCAGGTGGGAGAAAAACAGAACGGGTCCACCAAAGCGATGGTCGCAAGGTGGATCACCATTACCTGCCAACTGTGAACCGAGTCGTTTAGGTCTCTGGTTTGTACCCAGTTTGAGCCTGCGTAAATGGGGGTGACCCCGCGGTATTCGCGGCCAGCATGTAGCTGCGGGTGATCACATGACATCGAACCGTCAGTACGACGTATCAACGATTCTTCGCCATTGCGAGGGTGGCAATTAAGGTAACTGGACCAAGGAGAGAAGTCCACAATCCAACAACGCATAGCAAATAGAGCAATAAAACAAAACAGTAGCTAAAACCGGTGTCGGACACGTATTTCAGCTAAATCTCAAGGACAGCATTTAACATTGTGACCGAAAAAGCGGTTCGCCGGTAGTTACCCACAACTTTGCTCGAAACGATCAGCTTTCGCTGTTCAAATGGGACCAAAGATTCCAGAGGACATCACAAGTTTCCGAGCACTGAAGTATGATATGCCTAGGTTAACGCCACCGCAGAGGATAATCAACGGTGCCCTATCTGCCGCATCGAGCAGGGTGGATAGGGGTTTGGATGCTACTGCTCAGGCCTCCCCATCTCCTTATTCCCCTTCTTGCGCTTTTTCACCCTTATCGTCCCGTTCCAGCTTTACTTTTATCCCCACTGTTTTCCACCCCCCAATTCTCGGCCCTCCCCCACCTTCCTTCAATAGTCGCTTGTCTTTTAGTTTCAACTCACAGGTGAACGCAGAACGTCATTCCTGCACTGTCAACAGGCCCATGTCCAAGCAAGCGGCCCATTCCAGTTCATCGGCTTCCATTTGGAGCCCTCGATCCTCCTTCAGACCGGCATGCTTCAATGTTCGCACATTGCTTCAGATTGGTCAACAGACAGCACTTGCCCGTACATTGGAGACCCTCTCGATTGATATCTGCTGCTTATCGGAGACCCGCCTAAAAGACTCGAGCTCTGTACTCACTCTGCGATTCCCTTCAGGTGACACTAGCAGCACTTTCTCATTGCACCTATCCGATGACGATGCAGCTTCGAGCACCGGCCACGCTGGTGTTGGTATTGCCCTGAGTCCCCGGGCTGAAGCTACTCTGGTTGATTGGATTCCAATCAGTAGCCGGATGTGTGCGGTCCGATTGGCTGGCTCGTACAAAACTTCGAAGTCGCGTGGGACTAACAGGTGTCTATTCGATATCGCTGCCTATGTACCGACAAACTGTAGCGATGGCTCGGTAAAAGACGACTTCTATCGTCAACTGAACAAGCTCCTTCGCCACAGAAGAAGCTCGGACACTGTAGTGCTGGCCGGCGATCTGAACGTTCACATTGGAAAATTATCCACAGATGAGCTGTATCTGGGCGGCCAACATGGTGTAGGCTCCCGTTATGATAACGGTGAGCGGGTACTTCATTTGTGTGAGGATGCTCGCTTATTTCTTGCGAACACTAATTTCAGACACAGCACCCGCCAAAGGGTGACTTGGTGCCCACCATCCTCGAACCAGCTATGGACGCAAATCGATCACATTGCGATAAGTTACCGATGGAGAGGCTGCGTCCAGAACTGTCGCTCGATTTGGAGCACAGGTGTTGACACCGATCATGCACTTGTATGTGCTGACCTGCGGATGCGCTTTGGCGGACGCCCGCGACGAGGTTGTGAGCGCATTGACACCGGCAGACTGGTGAATCTAGCTGTTCTGAACGCCTATCAAATTACGCTGTCATCCGAGTTGGATAAACGCTCACTGGATGCAATTGAAGCTCACTGGTCTCATATGGAACAGACCTTACTAGCAGCAGGAAAATCCTCATGTGGTATGTCTAATCGCCAACATGAACATTGGGTCTCTTCACAGTCTCTGGAACTTATAGATGCTCGCCGGCATATTCCTGCTGGAAGCGAACACAATAAAACTCGCAAAGAGCTCCGGGCGAAACTCCGTGCTAGCCTGAAGAGAGACCGCGAATCCTGGTGGTCTCGTCGTGCATCAGAGATGGAAATGGCCGCTGCCCTTGGTAACGATCGTGAGTTATTCCGTCTTATACGGGAGACGGGCAGCAGGAGACCTGGTGTTAGTGAAACTATACGTGACGAGAGTGGACAGCCTATCCACAATTTATCAAAACGCCTGGAACGTTGGGCTGAGCACATTGAAAGGCAATTTAATCGGTCGGAATTGTTAGATTTCTCGCCGACGAGTGATCGCCCCGCTCCATGGGCTGTTCCTTTGGATCCACCCTCTCGCTCAGAAGTCGAACGTGAGATCAAAGTGTTGAAGTTAAATAAAGCCGCGGGACCAGATGACCTTCCTCCAGCCCTCTTCGAATTCGGGGGACCTGCTGTTGTGGATGATTTACACGAGTTACTAGTGAAACTGTGGGAGCAGGAAACTGTCCCAACCGATTGGAGCCGCTCCATCTTAGTCCCAATTTTCAAAGGAAGCTCACGATCGGAATGCGGCAGCCATAGAGGAATCAGTCTGATCTCCATCGCCTCCAAATTGCTTTCCTCTGTCATCCTTCACAGACTGACTGGCACTCGTGAAAGCCAGATTCGTGAAGAGCAAGCTGGATTTCGTCGAGGTCGTAGCTGCATTGACCACATCTTCACTTTGCGTCAGTTGTTGGAGCACCGTCACATATATTGGCGGCCCACCGTTGTCGTCTTCCTCGATATCAAAGGTGCATTCGATTCGGTGGATAGACATGCACTTTGGAACTGTCTACTCAGGAAAGGTGTACCTGAGAAATATGTGAATATCATCCGAGCATTATATGCTCGTAGCTCGGGCAGAGTGAGGGCTTACGGCAAGTTGTCGTCGCCCTTTAATATCTCCAGCGGCGTGAAACAAGGATGCCCGCTGTCACCTTTCCTCTTCAACTTCGCTGTTGACGAAGTCATGGAAATCGCCTTCACAGGACACGACTTTGAAGGTGTGGAGCTACTCCCAGGAGAACGACTTCTTGATTTAGAGTATGCTGATGATATTACCCTCATCTGTGACAGCTCACAAACGTGCCAAGCGGCACTGGACAGATTAGCACTAGCTGTCCGTCACTTCGGGTTTTGCTTCGCACCCTCGAAGTGCAAAGCGTTTCTCCAAGATTGGTCTGGACCGCCTCCTACGCTGACCCTTGGTGGGGATCAGCTAGAAGTCGTTCAAAAATTCAACTACCTGCGAAGTTGTATCAGCGCCCGTGGGATTGAAGATGAAATCACGAATCGTATAGCAAAAGCTCGGGGCGCTTTTGCTAACCTTCGCCACTTATGGCGGCGGCGCGACATCACTCTTGCCCTGAAGAATAGGGTGTACAATGCAGCAGTACGTTCGACCCTATTGTACGTTGTGAAACCTGGCCGCTTAAAGCAGCGGACCTGAAGAGGCTAGTTACGTTCGACCACCGGTGCCTTCGTAATTTAGCTCACATTTGGTGGGAACACTGCGTGAGTAACGAGCGTGTTCGACGCCTTGTTTATGGCACAGGTAAAGGAAATGAACCGCTCAGCACTGTCATTTCACGCATCAGGCTCCGATGGCTCGGCCACGTGTTACGCATGCTGGCCCACCGACTTCTGCGACGTGTGTTGTTTGCGCGCCGGGGGTGTGGATGGAAGAAGAGGAGGGGTGGCCAAGCGATGACTTGGTCCAGAGGAATGAAGACCCTCACTTCTGAGCTGGCCTCGGTTGGAGCGTCTCGGCTCCCTGGTTGGGGTCCGAAAGACGATGAACACATTTGGTTGGACACACTTGCTGATATGGCTAGGAGCCGACCTCAGTGGCGTTCGTGCTGTGAGTTTCTTTGTCCCACCCCATCCCTCTTAGCCTCCCCTCCAACCACGATCTCATTACTTAGCCCTATATAATTTTGCATAATAATTTTTTTGGGCGAACAGCAGCCGGCTGGTGGCTTACCGGAACAATGCCCATCCGTTAGCGGTAGCTCAGCCAGCTTTCACCAGTTGTTTTTTCCTCTCCTTTTTTCTTTGTATTGCGGCACAGTAGCTGAGGTGTTTCCCACATCTAGCTAACGTGTATGTTGATGATGATGATGAACGCCACGAAGTAAAAGCGATTTAGGCCAGCAAAGACTATGAGATCAAAAGCCGGATAGGAGAAAACGTGACCATGATTAGGAGATATCATGGGCTTGGGTTAAGATCAATGAAAACGCAAAAAACTGATGCTTACCTGGTGCCCAAGGGCGATGCTCTGTGCAGCAAACATGATAGACTTCATACCACTGGCACAAAGTTTGTTGACAGCAGTACAAGGAGTGGACACACTGAGGCCACCGAGTAAGGCTGCCTGCTTTGCGGGCGCCTGCTTCGTGAATGCAGAGAGTACCTAGTGCGAATAGATATAACAGCATCAACAAACACTTACCATACCCATGATACATTCCTGTACGGCACCAGGATCAATTCTGGCCCGATCAATGGCGCCTTTTATAGCAACGGAACCAAGAAAAGGAGCGGAGCAAGAAGCCAGTTGCTTTTGGAAAGATCCCACAGGTGTGCGTGCAATGCCCAGTACGACAACATCCTATGCTAATGCATATAACACAGAACAAACCTGGAGAAAAGGTTTCGAGGTCTGTGAAAGACTGCGAGTGGCATATTTTATTGAGGAAAAAGACGAAATCTGTCGAAAGGCCATGTAGAGACGAAATGGGGCAGCTGATGCTGCGCACACCTGCAAAACACGATACAGGAGGGATGGAAATTATGAGCAAGTTCAAAACACTGTTAAAAATCAACAGGCAGTCAAAAAGCGCACATTAACCTAAGCAGATTATGTCAGTAAGCACTTGCAGAAATCTGCAATGCAGTTTACTTGACAAATTTAGATAGAATTGAGACTATGTGCTAATATATGGCAAGTCAGTAAACCACCAGAAATAGAGCAGCACGGCTATGATTAGCACTGTCACCGCTAGTCCCCGTCCAGATGCAAGTACACAAGCCCAAATGTTCTCTGCAATACAGGGTACTCGAATGTTACTACTAAACAACTAAAAGGGAATGAAACAAATTGTGTAGGTCCAAAGATCGGGTTAACTACGCGACTACCATCTGAACCTTGAGAACCAAGCTACCCTGACTACAAACGATATGTCAAGAAGACGGCAAAGGTTGTGAGGATGCAAGAAAATAAGGTGACAAAAATGGAGAACGCTGTTAAGCACCGCGGACGAAAAGGTCAAAAGAAGAAACGAAACGCAGATCGCATCGCTTTCGCAAATGCACAATATCACACCTACACAAACTCTCAGTTCCCCTGAGCACGGATCTGATATCTAAGAAAGCGACACGCGCCAACCCGATTCCGCTTTGCCGTCGGTTTCATAATGACCTTCATCAAGTAAACGATTTGCTAACTAGGTAATTCGTCCAACTAAACACAGCAGTGACGTGCAACACAATCGGGGAACCCGGCTAGTAGACATGTGAAGAGTAGATGGCTCAAACCAAAAGAAGAGCTAATGCAGCATAAAGTCTGCCGCAAAACATCAAAAGATGAACTGAATCCTGTATTGTGGGAGCAAGAAGAAATTCGAATCTGATCAAAATGTTATGAAACATATCTGCCACCTGTTAATTCTCTAATCGTTCCACAAGTTCTTGTGCAACATTTATGTCTGACTTATTGTATCACAGGGCTCGCAAATGTGAGATATCAACGCCAGTGTATAATCACTAGCTGAATCGAATAGCTGTGAAGTTTAAATACAGCAAAGATTTGAACTGTTGCACATATTTGGACTACAGGACCTGTCCTAGGTGATTATTCCAAACATTACCATTCGCCGTTGAAATCACAAAGAGTGGGAAACTGGGTTTATATCAGGCACCACAAGCTTGTACCGACGTACGCGTGTGCTGCTGAGAATTCATCCCACAGTCTGTGCCGTCGCCGAGCCAGCTTATCATATTTTGTCGAACCAATGTGGCTTGGTCGGTCCCCGACCTTCCGACAGTTGAGACACAAACCGTTTACTCTGTCCTCTATAACTGACCAGTAAGCTTCAATAAATGCAGATAGCAGTAGAGCTCATCCCACTTTGTTATTTATCCGCTGACAATATGGATAACCGGTCCAAGCACTTTCCAAAATCAGAGGACAGATGCATATGGTGGAATTTGAATGGAGTATGTACAGCCAGAAAAGGGGTCAAGATAAATAGTCCATGAGAGAATGATCTAATTGAAAGTTCCTGAATTCTAGCAGCCACTAGATGCGTGAAAACTCGCTTGTTAGCTGTTCAAGCAGTGCGCTCACTGGTTGAGTTCAAGTTAGATCATTGTCATTTGTCCATTTCATAATAAAACGACGACATTGACTTACCCTCATTGGCTAGCCAAGCATCATCAGGCGACGGGGGCCAAGCTGTTCCGGGTTGCAAGCTAGAGGGCTCGCTTCGAGGGCTACTATAGACTGGCTATCTTAACACTACCCCCGCGAAAAATGACATACGACTTCCTCCTCGGATCCAGCTGCATTCTGACCACGGATCTCCGTATGCGATTACCCTATCGTCGTGGCTCCAAGTTTGTTCTTTCTGTGGCCCATGAAAGATTCATTAAGTCCCTCCTGAGTTCCAGGGTGTACGTCGAAATTGTCCAGTAGAATATTCACTGACAGCAATAGTTCAATGAATGCTGGTTTGTGAAACTGATCCGAATCATGGCCCTCACTCGAACTTTATACAGCACGTGTCCAAGTCTGTACTCGATCGAGCCTGTTACCCCCTGTGGTCTTCCAATGTGATAGCCTCTGAGTAAAACACTGTTCTGAGTGAAATAGACGTGCTTGTGTCCTAAGTCGTCAAGGAAAATAATTTCCCATTCTCGCTTCGGGAGCAGCAATGAATTCAGAGTAAGAAGTTTGCTAGCTGTAAGCACTTCTGCTGGTGACAGCTGATTTGGCACGTTGGGGTTTGGAGTGAATCTATATAGTATAAGAAAAACACTCAATCTCTACCGTGTGGTGTAGAGTGGAACTCAAGTACTGGTAACCAAGAGAACCACTAAGAATCAATATGGATATCGATTACTCAGAAGTGTGAACGCCGCCGGACCCAACGCGTATTGTACAGAGCTGTAATGAACTGGAAGCAAAGTAGCAACAGCACAGAGCAGGGTAGCGCACGACTAACAGGGAATTCGGAAGTGAATCTGATGCGCCGCCAGTAAAACACATGGGTGATCGGAAGATACGAAGAAGAATAAAATCCAATGTCACACAATATTGAATGCGCAAATGTTGCATGTTCACTACAGGGACCTCCCCCCTGGAGATGGCAGGTGGGGAACAAAGTGAGGATGGGAAAAAAGTAGCAGTTGTAGTTGGCGCAGGCGGAAAGAGGAGGCGCGTGGAGTTCTCTGGGTCCCGGCTTCTTTGTTATTATATTTATTTATTATTTGGGTGTGGATTGCAGTGCATCGTCAGTGGGCCGTGGGGGGCGGGCTCGTCGGACTGCAGAAAAACTGGCTAGTACATTAAAAGGCCGATAGAACATTTTCTCCTCTGCATACTATACGGTGCGTATGACAAGTGTCACTCCCCCACCGCACCCGTGCACGGCGATGACGATCATCGTCCCACGAAGAATCCCGGACGTCCTCTTTGGGGAGCTGTTTCTCAGAGTTCGCAAGCCAGGCTAGCCATGGTCACACTGGTAGTGGGAGGTGGGGGGTCGCTTGGAGCTAGGATGAGGGGGCTGAGATTTCGGCCGGGTGGGTCAGGAGATTCGGCGGTTTCGCCGGGGATCTGAGTTCCGGAACGTAAAACGCGGGGGAGTGAGACGTGGTCGGAACAGGCAGCGTGATGCCGTATGGAAAACAAGGTATGTATACGAAACAAAAATGCGTACATTTAGTTTTTTAAAGATTTTGGTCTCTGTTATTCTACTAGACATTTGAGAATAAAACACGCAATTGCCAAGAAAAGTGAAAATACGCATGTCAAGGAATATGGCAAACGTCAACATCATCGGAAAAATGGACCGAACGTTTGACCTGTCTAACGCGTCGGTTAGTTGCATGGGGTTGGGGCTGGGTTGGCGGATGGTTAGCGGTAATAAAGGGGTCTAGGGTGTCTGGGGAGGACGAGGCAGTTGCGAGTGAGTTTAATTGCGGTTGAACTAAGTGAGGTCGAAGGCGAATCTCCGAAAAATGCAACTTTGAGACGGCCGATGGACAGCGCTGTTTGGTGACCAATATGGTCTAAGGTGAAGTGTTTTGGAGTTCGTTGGAGAACTCTGAAGTGACCGGGGTGTGGAGGCAGAAGAGGGCGACGCACTGCGTCTGTGCGGACGAAAACGTGAGTGTAGGTAAAGAGTCCACTGTGCAAGTGCATATCTCTAGTCTGCCCACAAGGAGGGGTCGGGCGCAGCAAAGGAAGCGCTGGGAAAGAGAAGCTTCGAAGTTTGACGCTGGCATGCACGATGACGAGGTGAGCGAAATGAGTTCTTCTGGCGACTCAAGCGTTGTGCCGTAGACCAGCTCTTCTGGTGTGCACTGTAGGTCAGCTCTGATGCTGCTGCGAAAACCTAGAAGTACCAGCGAAATGTTTTCGCTCCAGTCATAGTCGGATGTAGTACAGATAGATGACTTACGCTACCGATGAAAGCGTGACTGTCATTAGCTGCTGCCGGATATGCCACCGTGTGGATGCAGCGGCAGACTAGGAAGTTGCAGAACGGATCAGATTGTGAAGATTTGGAAGGCGTTCCATGGTCGGTTGTGATGGTGGATGAGCATCCGTAGTGGAACACCCAACGGTCCAAGAAAGCATGGACGACAGTTTCGGCCATGCGGGCTGGTACAGGGATGGCTGGTTATCTGGTGAAGCGGTCGACAGGTCAATATGTATACGAATCCGCGAGGGTGATAAAAGGGTCCTACCTAGTCTAAGTGTACGTGAGAGAACTATGAATCCGGGACAGGGAATGAATCGAGGACTACGGGTGTGTTCGAGGTACCTTAAAGCGTTGACAGTGAAGACGAACTCGAGCGCAGTTACGAACATCTTTGTTTACACTTGGCCAGACGAAACGCTCGGTGCACAGTTTTAAAGATGCCCGAATATCAGGATGAGGTGAGTGCAAGACGTCGAACATTGTGTGTCTGAAAGAGGCCGGCACGGCGGGTCTAGGACAACCTGCGAAAGTATCCCAAAGGACAGATCCATACGTAATTTGGACAGAAATGGGGTGAACATGCAGTGAAGTGGACTGCAGGGTGCGTTGGAAGTCTTCATCTTGGGTCTTGGCCGGTGCCATGGCGGCAAAGTCGATAGTAGGCAAGGAATGAAAAGCGGGGCTAACACGAGAGAGCGTCATATATATATATATATATATATATATATATATATATATATATATATATATATATATAACTAATGACGGAATTGCCTGTCACTGTGGCCTCCATGGGGACAGCCAAAGAACGCCTGTGTCTACGGAGGAACCACGGGTGGCCTGCGCTGCACCGCCCACGGCTCAATCGGCATATCCCACATCCAATGTAAATCAGTACGAATATGACCGAGGTAGGTGGATGGCAGCCACGTTCTATCAACGGAGCCGGTCAACACTCCTTCAACATGCACAGCAGCAGCATCCCTGTCTAGTTGGGAAGTCATGCGTACTAGGCGAAAATAAGGCGGTGGCTGGACCGTAGCCCGTTTTACACTG